GGGCACAGCCCCGCTCCCCCCGCCGGTCCGTCAGTAGAGCCGGCCTTCCGAACGGAGCGGCACCGGCACCGGCACCGGGCGGCATCCAGAGCGCAGCGCTTACCGACTCACCCGCCGGAACAGCGGGATGTGGGATTGCGGGATGAGGAAGACCATCCGGTACCGCTTCGCGACAACGACAGCCGGTCTCTCGCTGCGGGATATATGCGATTTATGGAAGATCTGGCGTTTGTAAATACTCGACAACTGCCTCAACATGAAAAAGTACAACGAGAATTCCAGCAGAGGGAGACAAAAGACAAAGCGGGGGGGTGTGTGTGTGTGTGTTAAAAACTTGAGGTTCTCCCCATGTGAGATGTTGTTAAAGTAGTAGCAACAGCGCCTAGAAAATAGTACAAATCGTAATAAATATATTCCAGATTATCCAAATTCATAGTAGAGTTTGTCATTAATAACTATATAAATCTGTTATTGTTAAAGAAGCCCTGGCACCAGTGCCACCTGGCACCTGTCTTGCAGCAGGTACGGTACTCTCTTTGTTTCTAGTTGGGGGAAAAAAAAATAATCAGCTACTAAGCTTTCAAAAATTCGTTTGCTACCAAACAAAGTCCGTCTATCGTATTGCTGTCCTTGGGCCAAAGAGCAGACGTGCAACGCACAGGGCTAACATCTAACCGCCTGGGACATCCCCGCCTGCCAAAAAGGGATGATGCATCACAGCAGCATGAAAGGTCTCACGAAACAAGTTTCTCAAGCCTCAGTCTAAAAGAAAAGAAAAAAAACTATTATGGCCTATCTTCGACTTTGGATGGCAAGTCGTACAACACTATCTTAATGCGGTTTTGGTCTCGCTTCTTGAAAAAAATGAAACGGCATCTGCTGCCAGAGAATGGCAACAGTTGTTACGCTTAAATGAGTAGTAAGTAAATATGATCAGTCATACATTAACTACAATGTTTCATGAAGTAAGAGAACAAATTTAAGGTATGTGGCTTATCCTGTTTCTCCACAATGAAGGTATACTACAGTAGTATAACCGAGTATTTCTGCTGTTGCAAAGTGCTCGAGCAGGACTTTTAACTGGTCCACGGGCAATAAAGGAGAAACCAAACCTTCAGTTCTGTTTACAAACACTACTTGCAGGTATGTTCACAAGAGCCCCCCAGGGAGCACACCCGGGATTCCGAGAAATGGTCCCGCTGGGAGCTTTTACGTAAACGAGCAGGAAGAGATCGAGGCTTGTTTCCAGAGACCTGTCACCAATTTTTTTTTCTTTTTTTTTTTTTTTTTGCGGGGGCAGAGTGTCCTTTGCAGAGATCTTACCTGAATACAAAAACATAAAAATTACCGGAAGAGTGTGTTTCACAACATTATTCAGAAATATTAAAACAAAATAAAGAGTATCTTCTCAGTTTATGTTGCAAGCAAGACCAAAGACTACTGGCTTTGAAAAAGGGTTACGTGGAGTGTTTTTACTAGGCACTACTGTAATTCAAACCCACAATAGTCTGTATTTCAAAATGAAGATGAGATAAAAACGAGACTCCTTAAAAAATTGTATAAACTTCTTTAGAAAAGGCAATATACAAGGCATCGTAATTCCATGTTTATTTTTAATCACACTTTCATTATAATTACATAGCCATAAATATATCTTTATTACCTCTGAGAATTATTTTTGTCGTGTTTTCTAATAATGTCCATAATATTATCTCCTGTTACAAGACTATTCTGTAATTGTTTAAGTCTCTGTTGTTCCCTTCTCTTTTGGTCATGAAGATATGGGGAATTAAGCAGCTGTGGGGGAAGAATGGTGCCCGTCGGCTTCACTCTCTTTACGACATCCCAAAAGAGCTTCTTGCTGTTGTTATTGATAAAAGTAATTGCAGTTTCACTGTGACCTAACCTCCCCGCTAAAAAGCAAAAACTCATTTTAAGTTACCAATATTAAATGGAAGTCCTTCATATATCCTTAAAAGTTCATTTTCTGTTACAAAACAGCAACTAACCTAAGTGACAAGGCCAAATCTCTTTCTCTCATCCTCTAAGCACAAAGTGTTAATAAACTTCCCGAGTTCAGGATATGCAGATCTGAAGCTTTAGCTTAAATGCATCTAAAATTACCACTTGCTTATGGGACATACCAGAAGTCCAATATTCACGCTGAGATATATGATAGAGCCTACGGGCAAAGGCTTACAGTAAATCTGGTCCAAACAAAATGTTTTAAAAAACATTTATTATAGCAATTGCACATACATGTATCTTGTATCAAGCACGGTATGTGCAAGCATGACCATAAAAAAGCCCTTTACTTTCAATGTTCTAGTAACTTAAAATTATTTCTCAGTATTATCCAAAGTGCTCAAACAAATCAGAAAAGAATCTACAAAGACTCTCTATTTAGGAAGAGACAGCGTGTTAATATTGGTATAGTTTTGATGCTAGGAAAGAGCATTTTTATTTATTTACTACTTGCTTGAAACTTCAGCAGAAAGCTAATTAAAAACCGGGAAGGTGTACTGCAGTTAGTAACCCGGAATACTTCAGGAGTTCATGAGACGGGGTACTTCCAGAGGTCCTGCCCACCTATTCAGAACAGGGCTAACTTCAAAGTTAGATCAGCTCGCTCAGGGCCTCGTCCTATGGAGTTTCGAGTGTCTCCAAGCACAAAGGTCCCACAACCTCTCTGGGCAGCCCGTTCCACTGCCTGACTACTCTTCGCTGTGAGAAAACATTTTTTCCTGTTATCAGGCCAGAATTCCCCTTGCAGCAAGTTGTGACCGTTGGCTCTCATCCTCTCACTGCACATCTCCAAGAACAGTCTGGCTCCGTCTCCCCTGTAACCGCCCATTACCAAACAGAAGACGGCAACTAAATCTCTACTCCAGCCCAACCAAGCCCAGTTTCCTCTGCCTCTCTTCACATCTGCGGCAGAGAGTGGCGTTTCGCCTTTCTTCGCAGAGATACACGGTAAGCTTTGCTTTCTATAGACACAAAATGATACAAGAGAGTACAAAACAGGAAAAATACTACTGCAAACATAACTGATACAAGAACGCTGTCCTAGGTTCTAGTAACTCATATAGGAGATACAAGAACAGTGTTCTAGATTTTAGTAATTCACATAAGAGACTTATGGAACAGATACTCGGCACCTTTCTTTCTTTCCTATAAAAACAAAATCCTGAAGAGGAAAATAATCTTTATATTTACATTTAAATTTCCATAGATGGATGTCATATTTCAGTATACTTTTCAAATAATGCTTTAGCAATTTATTTATTTACCTGATGTACATATTCATCCATACTTGAAGGCATATCAAAATTTACTACCAGTTTGACGTTGACGAGGTCAAGCCCTCGTCCAAGGACTCCAGTACTTACTATAACTTCATACTTCTCTTGAAGTAATCCCTAGCAAGGGAGGAATAAACAAAAATTAATTCTTTTTTCCTTATTTATATTTTGAACCTCTCCAAGCATAGGCTAAGGTCAGTTATACAATGTAAGAACACACCCAGTGGGATTATTCTATTGCAGAAGAGAGAATGGTCCCCCTGTATTCCTGATTTAAATAGGAATATAATTCACAGAACTAATTAAAGAGAGATCAAAACCACAATTTTAATTAAAAAACCATCAATTAAAGTTAAATGAATATTTAAATTCCCATTTCAAAGCAAATAACGTAGGAAACGGTCTCCAGTATTTATCTGCATTTAAAATGGCATTATTATCTACAGTTTTGCTTGGTCCCATCTGTCTCTCCTCTCCCCCAGCAATACTCCAGGTTTTACTGCAGAAAAGCCATAAATTATGACTTAACTCATTCAAATTAAGCCACCTTTTAAAAAAATGGGCCATTTTAGATCTATCAGAACCCCCATACGTTTAGTAGGCACAAACCTGTAATATGTCTGTTCTTTCCACCTGAGATTTTTCAGAATGCATGGCTGTACATTGCAATCCTGTGATCTTATGAACAGCATCGCTCAACAGATCTGCTCCTAGCTTACAGTCCACAAATACCAACACTGGAGGCTTGAAGAGTTTCTTATCCTGCAAAATTAAACAGTTCATGTAAGAAGGTATTACAACAGTTTGCTGCTCATCATCATCAACTTGGATTCAATTTCTTCTGCTCATTATCTCTAATATCAACAACATTTAGATGAATAAATGTTGTTCTTAGATTCTAGAGAAGAAGGAACAAGATACCAGCCATGAAACTACACCAATCTGTCCATCATAAACATATAATGATTTGTAGACTCAGAACCCAGCTTTATATCAACACATGCATTTTTTAGAAGTCAGCAGCTTTTATGTTTCTTTAAATGTTACACAGTAATTCTGAATTTCTTTACGTTCTGAGGTTCAGTTAAAGATTCTTATTTACTTCTTGGATAACCTCAGCCAAGACTCCAAAATTCCCCCCTAAAGTACTCATAAAAGACATGTATTATTATTCATATAAAGAAAATTCAAGAAAGAACTACATTAGCTTTCTCACTGGTTTCTTTAATGACTTTTAAAATGACAAACCACTCCCAGGCCATAAAGCAGCTACGACAGTTTAAGAAAGTCCTGTTCCTCTACCACTCACAGATAACCAGTACAAATCTTTGGGATGCCATACAGCGAATCACCAAAAAAAAAAAAAAAAAAAAAAAATCAAAATTGTAATTTTTAACTCGGATCCCAGCACAGGAATCTAGTTTGCTGCTGCACAGGAGGTGTGAGCGACGGGGGTGGAGTAATCCCTGAAATTGCCATTAAAGCTCCTACACTGCAGAACTACTGAACTAGTTAGTGCAGTTATATGCTTAACCTCACTCCACCTCTTCACTATATACAGATTAGAATTAAAGATGAGAACCTGACAGAGATGTGTAAAGACATGGATAATTTTGTAAGTTGTTCTTATGAGAAAATTATTACACTTACATTGAGTATTTCAAACAGCTTTTTCTTTTTAGATGGTTCTTCTACCCACAAGATAATTTGGCGAACATTGGAACATGGCAGATTCTTTTCTCCAATTGTTATTCTTACAAAATTGTGCAGAAGCTGATTTGCTAAGTGTTCAATGCCCGCTGGAATCGTGGCTGACACTAGTATGGTTTGATGATCGTGAGAGATGTCTTCCAAAATATCCAACACTTGCTGCTGGAAACCCATTTTTAACATGGTATCCACCTAAGTGTAAAATATTAGATTTGTACCAGATTTTTCCATAAACAGCAGAATCCTGAACTTGAATTGACAGAAGAACCATAATGTGTATGTAATAATCCAAATGCAGGCGTATTTTCAGTGAGAAGAAAAGCTAAGTGAGAACATGAAAAACAAATGGTTCACACTGGTCTAGCAGTATTACCCTGTCAGGTATCTAAGTCTTTTATAACCAACAGAACATGCATTGTCCAAACACGATTCAAATTATGTTAAAAAATTAATTTTTCTCTTAAGAAATATATTTTACCTCTATAATGAACACTCTGTATGTTTAATCAGTTAGACTAGCCACTCACACTGGCTCTTCAAAGACCTCTGTATAGGCAATACAGCCCTGATAACTAAAAACTTACTTCATCCACCACTACAATTTTTATGCCATGCAGTTGAACAGAACTTTGCTTTAAAATCTCAAGAAGTCTTCCAGGTGTTGCTATTATAACCTAAAAAAAAGAAAAAAAAAAAAAAAACAAAAAAACCCAGGAGTTAGAAATTCCATGAAAAGACAGATGTCTGTCCTAGAAAAACTGTGAAGTTACAGCACATAGGTGAGAAGGGCACTAGTGAAATTACTTGCATTCAAATAAGTCTTAAAACTTTTATGGATAACTTAATAAATTATGAAGTCTTAAAAGGAAATGGACCTTTTAGAACTCTAATGGAAGCGTCTAAATACAAGCAATGTAATCTGCGTTAAAAATTTTTTTTTTTTGTTGTAAATTACAACTCTTTGTCTAATAAAATGGCATATTTCAGTCTTTGAAAGCAGCAATATCATACATGAAACTTCTTACAAACCAAAAAAGCTATTATATGTTTAATAAGAAGTCAAAATGTTAAAAAAAAGAAAAAATTGTAGTACTGTAATATTTTCAAGAGCTAACAATTATTTTAGTAGTTTAGACTTGGGGAAAACACATCTTCGTGTGTCCATACACGTCAACAGTAACATTTTTCTTTTCTGTGAACGTCATGAAAACATAACTCTCCACAGGATCTTTCCACACTATAGTCCTTACCTTAACACTTTGCTTGAGACGGTGCAGCTGTGGTGGCAGTGGTAAACCTCCTACCAGGAGAACTGTTCTCATGTTTGGTAAACCAGCCATCAGTTCTTTAGCTTGTCTCTCTATCTGAATTGCTAACTCCCTTGTTGGTGCCAAAATAAGGGCAGATGGAGTTTCTGTCTAGAAAACGGGAGAGAAATCTGTTGAACATGGAATTGCTTTATTATTTAGATAAAAAGCTTTCAAAATTAAATCTCCCAATACTAAAATATAAAGTATATAGTGCAGTTACTGTGGATACAGTTCGGCTGCTAATACCCTTTCTGTTTGAAGACAGAAGGTAGAAAGGGATTATACCTTTAACAATGCAGGCCAAGGAAGTTTATCCCTCAATTACTCAACTTTCGAAACCAAAAAATGAATGCATGTGTAAGTACACTGTTAGAATAGCTTCCTGACAACAAAAAAAGGCCCATAAAGCTAGTAGTCATTTGAAAGATTGCTTTTTTCTACTTTAGTTATTGCACCGAAGCTGTAACAGAAATTCAGAATAAATTCCACATGAACTCAAAACACAGGATGCTAGTTGAGTCTAGACATCATAAAAAAAAAAGTTTTTAGAAGTCTTGATGTTACAGGAACAGACTATTTCCCTTTACTGTGTTGCACACCACTAAGTAAAAATATTAAGTATCAGCCAGAGAAGATAAGCAGTGATAGGAACTTTATACAGCAAAAACATATGTCTCTGAAATTTAAGAACAAAATTAATAGCCCGTCTGACCGACTATTAGTCAGCCAGGCAGAGATGAATCATTAAAGTGGTACAGTCTTAATTTTTTTTTGTTGTTCCTTATATAAGAATCTTCAACCAAATTATCACCTCACTGATACTTCTGCAACCCAGAAAACACAAAATTACAGGATAGTGATTCCTAACTCCAGTTAACACACACTAACAAAGTAAAAAGAACATAAGGTAAAACAGAGGGGAAAAAAAAGGCAGAATAATGGTCTAGCTCCGAGATGCATTATTTCGGTAATAGTGATCACCTCTTCAGCAAATAAACAAAGCTCTCATATATTGATACTACAGTCAGGAATTCACTTAAAGAGTTTTCTGGACGGTATGTGTTTCTTTCTGGTCTCTAACTGGAATATTTACAAGTGACCAACAGTAGGAGTTTGTTCCTTTCCCACCGCATCATCAAAGGAACTACACAATTAAATACTTGTGTCAAGAAGGGCTTTTTGAGTTGTTTTCAAGTGGCAACAGTGTTTAGCTTAACAACTTACCACCACAAAAAAAGGTATCTACCTAGATGTGGAGAAGGCAGGGACCATCAAATATCTCATAACCAGATTACCCTTACGCTCTTAACATCTCATCTCTCCTTTACATTAAAAATGAAAATTATTTTAAACAACAAAATTCTTTCTTGACACATACGCTAACTCGTAACATACCCTGAAGATGAAGAATGAAAAAGATCATGTAGAGAAATTAAGTATTATTCATTGAGGCTCCAATTTTGTGCATGTTCTTATAAGCATATAACTGTCTTGCAGACTTCAATGATAATCAGACAGAGGAGGTACTGGAGTGCAATACTCCACTGCTCTTAACTGCTCCTCTATAATGCTTCCATTCTTAAACTAATGCTATAGTACTTTAAAGATTAAAAGAGTTACTTAAATAATCTTTAGATTATTCATTTGAAAAAAAATTATACACACACACACATTTGTATATACACACACACACAATATATGTGTGTGTATATATAAAGACATCTAAACAGTCCAAAACATCAACTAGAATCAGGCCCAGAATTTTCAAATATATTCTTATGCACCTCTTTTTGAATGAAACCACTAAAGCAAAAAGCAATACTGAACCACACAGAAGGTACAGAATACTATTTGCCATTACTTCTCATCATACATTCATGTCCTCACGAAGCAAAAGTTTTAATTGCTTTTTCCCACAGTATCAAAGGGGAGACTGTATAACTAGAGGATTTCAGAAATTACATTACCCCAAATTCCTGTTGTTATTTGATGGTCAGCTGAACATATTCCAACAGAAATTACTCTGTGAAATTATGCAAATGCCAAAAAAATCTCATTCAGCCATCCGATATATCAAGATACAGGAAAAACTTCTTGCAGAGGGCCTGGAATTATTTTCACTTTCTACTTTAAGTCATTTAGGAAGTTTACAACATAATTTACTTACCTTTCTTAACAAGGAGAAACTGTATACTAGGTAATATTAATAGAGTTGCTTTATTTCCTGACCAAAGTGAAAAAACATTCGAAGTCATTAAGAATAATCAGCACCTCCCTCCCCTCCAAGAACCAATGCTCCATCAATCAAAAGTCAAATAAATCATCGAACGTCAATAAAAAAACCACTGCAATTACATTCTCCATTACGTTGGGAATCCAAGAGACAAAGTTGAAAACCACTTTCTCTAAACACACGAAGTTTCATTACCTCTTTCAAAACCTTCATAATAACAGGGAGTAGGAAGGCTGCTGTTTTTCCAGAGCCCGTGTCTGCGCTAGCCACAATATCCCTCCCTAATAGTCCAACAGGGATCATTTGCATTTGGATGGGAGTTGGGACTTCGTAGCCAGAATTCTTTAAATTATGGTTTAAAGTTTCAGGAAAACCACAGTGTTCAAACTCTACAATAGGTCTTGGAACTTGCTGGCCCTGGACAGCAATACCCAGCTGCAGTTTAAGGTTCTCAATCTGCTCATCTCGCAAACCTAAAATAAAGGAATGATCTCTGTAGAAATAAGGTGTATCAAGCAGGTGAGTTTCTGCTTTTGTGAGTTGATCAGATTTTAGCTTTTTTTCCTTTTCTTGAGATTGTAGAAGGTGTTTGGCTTTACATTCCAAGCTACAAACATCTTCATCTGTTTTATCGCAGATATACTCTCCATAGCGACCACACACAACACATACAGGTTCTCCAGGTTCTGCCCAACGCTGGGATTTGCTGAAGGATTTTATGGGTTCTTCTGAAGAGCTATCTTCATCAGTAGTTTGGTTGTCCTTTCCCAAAGTTGTATTAGCAACACCAAGATCTCCAGCTACAGGTTCTGTGAGTTCTTGTACAGCTTCATTCAAATTGCATCTTGAAGCAGAAGCTTCTGTTCTAACTGACTTACAGTCTTGGAACTTGGTGGTCTCCTCTAGCAAAGATCCTCCAGAAGACAATTTATTTTTCTTAGCTGTATGACTTTTGTCGTCATCGGCAGTCCTCTTGACTTTAACAGATCTTGGTAAAAACATGCTTCAGTATGCTAGAAAGAAAATTGTTAGGGTTGTTAGAAACTACTACCATTGAGAAAAGTACATTTTACTGTTACCACAAAAAAAATCAAGTCTAGGAAATACATTTGCAAACCTAGAAACCAACTTTCAATCCCTGAAAAGATCTAGAAACTGCCTTGTTTAAAAATGATCTTGGTCTCAACAATGTTGATGCAATGTAATGCAGTACTTTAAAACAACAGTGGAAGCACGGAACAATACAGAGAGATCCACCTACAGTTAGTTTTCAGTATTACACATTTGCAGTTGAACAAAAACTTTGATTTTCACTGTCTGTTGGGAAATTTATCCATTTTGAGAGTCAGTCATACTTAAATCCTCGCAGAGTTTAGTTGTTTCTAAGACAAGATATAGAAGCAAAACATGCATTCTTCTAAGCTATGAAAAAACCAAACAAAATCATCAATTTTGAAAAGGATGTGAAATTTAGTACAGGACCCACCCAAGACCACTCCTTTTGTTGTCCTTTGCAAAGTCCACCCAAATTTAAAAAGGCTGTAAACTTTGAGATCTGCTCAGAGTTGAAGCTCTCAGAGTCCAGCCCTATTTGGGTGTCAAAGAACGAGCAAAGACCTACCTGATCAATTTGCCAAGTCTCTACTGTAATGCAAGGAAGCCGAATTAAGTGTTCATAAATAACCGTAACTTTTATACTCTGAAACTTTCGGTAGCTGACTCTGAAAGTGTCAGATGTTATCACCAATCGTTTGGTATGGTACAATCGGTAAACCAAGTACACAAAATACCGTAAATTTTTTCTGAATTAATCGTACTGCACATACCAGTCTCTGTCAACTTCTTTTTACATCAGCTGTCTAAAAATACACAAAGCTCTCCGTGTGTTTACAGACAGCTTTTTTCCTGCGTAACCCAAAGCCATTCAGAGCGAGGAAGCACCGGCAGGAAGCTCATCGCCCGGAGGAGCTCTCCTGACTGAAACCCGCGGGTCGGAGAAGACGGGCGGACCCGAGGTGCCTGGACGGAGGTCGCTCCCCCTCGCTGTTGGATCAGAAGCCGCATCTCACCACTTACCCTTTCGCACCTAACGAGAACTTCCCACAACAAACCTCTTTACAAACTCAGTAACGTTTCAGGTAAGGGGAGCAAAACGTGCTCACGGAGAGCGCCAGGCTGACGAAAAAGACTACAGCCCTAACGGGCTCCCGGGGAGGGTCCCGTCCTGCCGCCAGCGGTGACCCCGCTGGGAAGCCCCCTGCCCTCAGGGCTCCCGGGCA